TGGAGCATTGACAGGCGTATATCAAAACAAAAGGCATTTGCGTTTGACCTTTGACCCCGCACCCACTCATACACCCTGAAACTCACAAAGCGCTCCTGCTGCTAAGCACAGCTGCCCCAGCTGGAGTCTCAGAGCAAACAGAAGCTAAAGCAGCTCTCTCTCTCTCTCTAGTTCTTATCAGAGTAACTGCAAATGGCGTGAAAGAATGCGCAACGCTTTATTTTTATGAGCCAACAGATAAGGCGGGACAAGTGGCGGAGAATTGGGGGAGAATGGCGTCTTGGGCGCTGGGCGCTGGGCGTTGGGCGTTGGGCGTGGCATTATTATGCAGCCAGCATAATAAAATAAAAATGTTGAGCTGTCGAAAGGAGGCGAGCAGGAGGCGAGAAGTGCGCGAGCCAAGGGGCTTACAAGCAATGTAATATCAACATGACAGCCATAGAAAATGTTGCAGACGGCCACGCCACATAAAAAAGAGCACAATTATGTTTTTTTTTCACCTCTCTCTTTTCGCAGGACACAGGGGGGGAGGGTGGAAAGGTGAGCCCTGCTAAGTAGGTAAACGCATAGTGGCGGCTGCCATTGTTGTATGTTGTAGTATCAGATGTAATCATGCCACCAGGCGAGCGAGCAATGCCTTTATTAATTTCCTACATTTCAGCACAGGTACAACAGCCCCTGGGGAATGCTGCGGGCAATTAACAGAAATATCCTTGAGAATTCTTTGTGCTGCGAACTAAAGGTGCGTACGTTTGTGTCTTTAAGAAGAAGCCACAGAAAAGTTTGGCAGTGCTTTGATTTGGCCTAAACCAATTTGCCAATAGAGTCGTTTGATTCGCTAGTTGGTGGCCAAAGTTCTATCGAGTTTGGAATTGAATTGCTTAAAGACTTCATGAACAACATTCCACAACTAATTTGATCAAAGAAAGTGAGATTGAAGTTGCTGGCTGTGGAATGCCACTTGTGCAACCGAATGTGGCATCAAAGCCATTGAAATATCTTACGTTAAAGTCTGCAGCTGTAGCTGTATCTGAATCTGTGGCTGTGCCACAAGCACTCACGCCCAGACACACACTCGGAGGAGAGACTGGCAATATGAGAACTGTCACATGAGACGACAGCAACGGAAATTCTTGCCAAAGTTTATTAATTATTTTTGTTGATTTTGTCACGTGCCCGTAATTTCGACAAAATCCGCAAAATCACACAGTCAGGCTCCAACGCACTCACCCACACACGCACACAGATACTCAGTTACAGATACTCAGGAGTAGAAAATCACACATGGCCATTGGGCTGGCGCCATGGATTGGGATGAAAACCAAAAGCCAGAACCAAAACCAAGGCTAAACAGTATCTGAAAGCAAGCCAGAGATTCAGAGTTAAGGGGCGAGAGCATGACGGGGGCGCGGAGCCCGGAGCCCGGGGCCCACCAGGCACAGCCGGGCGCAGCGGCAGCATCCATTAGTCAAATGGCTTTCTGTTGCTCCATGTAAGTTGGTTTCCCCAGGTGCCCAAATGTCCAGGAAGTTGCCCAGCAGCCCTCCAGCCAGTCAGCCAGCCAGCCAGCCAGCCAGCATTGGACTCCTGCTGCTGTGTTGCCCAGGCTGGCCACAGGACAATCCACATTACATATTACATTATGTTCACGTTTATGACGATTATTGTTATTGCGTTTGTTCGGGCGCTTGTTTAGCGCAAAAGTCAATTAAATGGTTTTGTCCGCAACGCAACCATTTGCTCATAATTCGATTGCGATTTTCGGCTATTATCATTTTAGTATGTAAACACATAATTGTCAAACAGCTGGGGCCCGCTGCGGCGCTTCAACTCAATCAATGGCAATTGGTGATGGGAAATCGACAATCCTTCGGCATTGCGACACGCTGAAAAGTATGCTATGGCGAATTCGGGAAAACAAATCAAGAAGCAGCCCGTTCCGACTATTTAAGCAAAGAATATTGAATGATTGTTCCATGGAAATCTAGAAATGTTGCTTTGCGACTGAGCATTTTGCATTTAAGTGATTCGATTGGGGGGGGCCAAGTCCTTTGACCCGTTGATGGGCAGGGCGCTGTTGTCTCTGACTGCTGCTGACAGGGCCGGGCTGATGGACTCTGGACTCATCATTAGTGGCCGTTTGGCAGCCCCTCCCTAGCCCCCTAGTCTCACGAGTGACCGCATGTTTGCCATAATTTGGTGAAGCAAACGAAATGGAATCGCATTGGATCGTATCGCTTGTCGGTGCCTGCTGGGACCCATAATCCACTCATATGCTTGGCCCAATGTCGTCGCTGCTCTAGGAGCTGGCTCCATTTCCATTTGCCACATCAATTGTGCATTGAACTGTGCAAATGTTTGTGTGTACTGGCATAAGAGTTTTCTCTATCTCCCCCACACAAATCCGGGCAAGCTTTTGCCGAATTCTTTGTTTCGCCGGATGGAAAGCATGCGCAGGCCAAAGCGAAGGCGAGAGTCTAGAGTCTTGTGGTTGTTTTCTTTTCTGGCTCAATTGGATAGTGGCTACCAAAGGCTGCCAGCTTTTCAATTTGCCACACATCAAATAATGGCTGCCAGCGCCACACCTCACCCACTCCAGGTCCAGTGTGTGCGTGCCCCAACCCCAACCCTAACCGAATACCAGCTGCAAAATTATGCTGACGCATTTAAAATGCAATAAACGCGGGCGAGGCCGAAGCCGAGACCGTGGTCGTGGTCGTGGTCGTGCGTTGCGCCAGCAATTTTTGCCAGTTGTGCAAAATGTCAAACATGTCAATCAAAAGTCATTTTCTATGCCATCCGTTTGCCACGCTGCGCTCGTACATATTTGTCCCGAGCCTTTTCGTTTGTCGCATGCCACATGTCGCATATTGAGCTGCAGCTGAAGCCCGCTGAGAGGGTATGACAGGGTCCATGTCAGTCGCTTGACAATTTTGTAGGTTCTTTGCCACTTAAATCCGCTTTGTGGGGCCTGGCCTGGCTCTGGCCACTTCGAAGAGCCTCCTACGCCAAAATGTTTCAAAGATGCAGCGGCAATACACTCCCTTGCGAATGCTCATGGCGTATCCTGCCAATAGCATTCGAAAAATTCGGAACTAAAACTTCGGTGCGCCGTTTGGTCCGGGCTCCCCTGATGTTTGCTTTACACTGTGCGTCCAATTTAAAGTTCTTTGGGTCGGGGGGTGGATGAGGGTGCGGCATGTTTATGGGAGTTGGCGCAACGATTGACTTTTATTTGGGAGTAACATTTGCAATGCCCTAAAGAGGACTAAGGGTATGTGGGCATGTGCCTTGTGGCAATTTCCGAGGGCGCAATTAAGGAGCCATCAAATAACCTTCTAATTGAAGGGCATCCACTCTTCGATGTTCCTTGGAAGAGTTTGGCCTTGTTTTTATGTATTTGGCTGTTTGATTTGTTTTCGGATGCAGGTTGCGTCTTGTGCCGTTGGCAATATCTCCTCTCAGAGGGTTGAGTGGGGTCCCACGGGTTGTGGGCGCTGAGTTTTGGGTGGGGTGTGCGTTACTTGGATTTGAAATTTGTGTAAATTGAATTTATTGAAGTCTAATAGTCCCACGCGTGGGCGCATATCTTCTGGCGCTGCCAGACTTTTCTGACAGCCATCAATATATGTATTTGGATGTGGATGTGGATGTGGATGTGTGTGTGTGGGCTTGTGTGCATGCAAGTTCCGAGAGGTGAAGACGTTTGATGTCAAAATGGCTGCAGGGCGTTATTTTTTATGCTCCCACCCCTCCCTATATTAGATGTGTGTGCGTGTGTGTGTAAGGGAATGAGGGTATTTATAGTCTACTTAAAGGCTTCCCCCCCCTCAAAGCAATTTCAAGCTGCCGGGTCTCCTTCCTTTGGCGGATCTGCAGACAGGATTTAGTAAGCGCACCCGTGCACGTCAAGCCAAGACAAACAATTTGAATGAATGCTCGAAAAGGGGTGATTACCCATGTGTGTGTGTGTGTGTATGTGCGTGTGCGTGTGCTTGTGGTTGTGTGTCCCCAAGTGCGTGAGTGTGGGATTGAGGGTATTTACTGACAGGCAACCCGCTGCCGCCGCAACCGCAAATGTAAAAACACCGTCAAACCGAAAAGCAGCGAACCCACTAACGCCGACGACTTCATTTCGAATAATTTACATTCTCCGGAATTTACGTTGAAATTTTAATTGGAATTTACTTTGCGACGATTCTCTGCGTCGCCTTTTCCGGGGTCTGTGTAGCGTTTAATTTATGGCTGGGAAAAGTTTTTTTTTTTTTTTGTGGCATCTTCCGCTTGTTGACAAGCAAAATTTGTCATGCATTTAATGGCTTAGAGACAGGCGCCAGCGTCAGGCCAATATTGAGCCATGCCCCTTGCCCTGTGCACCATAAACGTAGAGTCACATGCGTAACATTTCGTCAGTCGCCGCGGACATCGCTTCGTTTGCGTAACATTGCCCCAGTAGAGCGTTAACAGCGCTGTAAATGTAACCCAATAACACACTTTTACATGCCGCTACTCTGTTACGTTAGCAGTCGTCTGCGTTCGGCTCGCTCACAGACGCCCGCGTTCTGTTATGCTCTGCTCTGCCAGCTGAGTGACAGAGAACGGGGCCCGGTTTGAGTGCAACCTGCGCGCAGCTCTCTCGACTGCGAGTGGGACGGAAGCGTAGCAATGAGGGCAGGCAGGCGGCAAAAGGTTTTCGGCATTCCGCTCAGTTTCTGTTTCTGCTTCTGCTTCTGCTTCTGTATATGCTCCGTGCACATTCTGAGCGGTGTCCGTGTCGGGCTTCGAGCTTCGTGCGGCGCTCATGGAAATTCGGCGGTTCATTCGTCTGTTAGCCGTCTGGTGCGTTGCCACGACGCTGTCGCAGTTTGTTCGTTTTGCTCGCTCGCTCGTTTGTCTGATGGTCGATGCTCGCTGCCTGGCATTCGCAGTCGTCGCATGTTGAGAGGAAGTAGGCGCGCTCCGCAGCAGCAGCAGCAGCAGCAGCAGAATCAGAATCTGTTGCAGAATCAGAATCAGAACCATAATCAGAGGGAGAGGCAGCAGCCAGGCAGATAAACGATTATTGTTTGGAGATTACAGGCACATTGATTGCTTACAACGGTAAATCTCACACACCGGAACACAGACACAGTCAGAGTCACAGCCACACAACGAGCAGCTCGAGTGGTTCGCACCGTGTCGCGCGCGCGTTCCATTGCGTATACGCAACGTTGCCGTCGGGTGCTTCGCTGACATCCGCTTCCGCCGTCGCCACTGTAACTGCACTGCCACGGCAGGGCCATGAAAATGCATTTGCATTTCCCAATTTAAGAATATCTTGCGTCGCGTCGCGCAGCCTCGCATTTCAAATCAAAAAATGTAACAACCTTCACAAAAATACAAATAAACGCAAATTATTGTTGCCGCTGCAGTTGTGCTTTCCGTTTTCGCTAAACGCTAGACGCTAGATTCTAGAAATATTTGTTTAAAAATTCTGTGTAACCTTTTTATTTTATAATCATTTTTTGGTGCAATTTGCAAACTTGTCGCGCAATTGGAAACAAACAAACGCCACTCGCCGCACGTTCGAAAAAAGTTGTTCATGCTAAACATGCAAATAATGCACGAGTCCAACAAATCCGCCAAACGGCAAAATTATTTATATGAAACAAAGCTAAACACAACACAGTGCAAAATGCAAAATGCCGAAGTCATAATCGCAAACCGTCCATGTTAGTTGTAATGAGTGCTACGACAAAATGCAACAATCACAGCGCCACTCGACCAGTTTGCCACTCGAGGGGAAAATAACCAGTAACGGTAGCGATACGAGTAATGATAACATAAATAAGAACTGTCGCGGCAGAGCCACAGCCACTCATCGGACGGAACGGGGCTGCTCCGGCTCGTGAACGCGGTCTATGTGCCAAGTTCTAGCTCCACAGAGTCACACACACACACACACACACACACAAACACACTGAGTCACCTCGAGCCCTGAATTCAAAGTGAGGGTACGCTGCGATGCTGAGCCATAGGACGGAAGTGTTGATATTGCCCCGCTGCTCAGTCGCAGTCGCAGCTCAGTCGATGAGCCCAGCCTGTAGCATAGAAATCGTCATCTCATAACGACTTAAGCTCCTCAGCGTGCTACATGGCTGCACAGTCAGCATTTCTTTGAGTACGTACATCCCCAGTGGTGCCCCCGGTGGTTACACACTTAAAGCCACAACAAACGCATTCACAGAATGCTCTGCTGGTAATGTCCATGATGATGACGATGATGGGGGTGAGGAATGATTTCTTTAAAGGTTACCTATCAGAGAAGAAGAAAAGAGATAAAGAGAAGAGAAGAGAGTCCTCTGTCTGTGTGCACGGAGTGATTTTGTTTACTTATGCCTTCTATTTATTTTCTATTTATTCGATTTGCATTTCACTAGGCGTCCGTCTTTGCCTTGGCAGTGCCTTCAAGCGTTACCAAAAACTCTCAAGCTTTCGAATGCAAATTTGTGTCGTCTAGTGCACAGTCAACCATCTAAGTCGACCCATAGATTTCCCTATATTCCATCTACACATCTTCTGTGTGTGTGTGTGTGTGTGGGCACTCAAATGTTTTGCTTGGCTGTTGAATTGCCTTTCAACGGGTCGAGCTGGGGCAGCCTCTTCAGTCAACGCATCTTCAGCATCAGTTCAGTAAATGGTGAGTATAATGATGAATAATATTTGAAAATAATTATCAATAAGATTTTCATTTGAATTGAGATGCTGCTAGCTTCAGCTCGAAGTCCCACATTTTGGCCCCCACCCCGTACGTTTCATTCTAGACATTATGGATCCACTAATCTGACAATCTGCTCACACAAAAAACCTTTTACAGCTTCAATAGCTAGAAAGACAGTGAGCTTCAGCACTGTAAAACAGTTTCCTGGGTCGTTAGTTTATGGCACAAGAGTGCTGAGATTGAATACAGCCATTTGCACACTCGAGTCGGCTAACGAATAGGATGATTATTGTTCTTAGGTAATGCACAGAGTCGGTTATCAGTGCAGGTGATTCATTCTCAACTTTGTGCAGGAGTTCAACTATGGGGAAAGGCAGTACTGGAACTAGGTGATTTATTGGCAATTATCGAACAGATAAACCTATTTAATAATGTGGCATTTGTTATGTTCAGCTCTAGAAAATGATGCCGAACTATTGAATCATCGAAAGGTATAATTTATAACCAGTTATCAAATTGTTTCGAAAAAACAAATTAACGCTACAAATATCATACCCGTACACTCAGAGAAAAGAGAGTACCAAGAAAAGAAACAAATTCACTTTAAGTCAAACATAAATCATATCAAATATTGAATCTATTTTTAAATTTATTCAAATTTCACTCTTAGCGCAAAATTTATTTTTAGTACTCGAAGTAAACATTAAAATTTCACTGTTGCTATTTTTATTCTTCCCTGGGTGTATGTGTATGTGGCATCCCCTTCAATCTTAAAATGAATGCATCGAAAATGCAAAGCTTGGCCTGTTTAAATTTTCTATTCTGCCTGTCATTTCAAACGAAATCAATTAATAATTCATTTATAATGCTAAACATGTTTGTTGATCAATTAAGTTTATGTACAGAAATTGGTCGCTAATCGATTGTGTGTTAAACTACCGAAAATTGTTAGCAAGCGACACATGTATATTATTAAAAATAATCAGTGACAAATGTGATTAAGTCTCCCCGTGAAGTAGAGTGATGCGCACGCGGAACGGGCACAGAATATTTTCCACTACAGAACTACTTTTCCACTCGAGTCGAAGCCAATTAACTAATTGATATTTCTACAACACTTTAAGTGAGTTTTAGCAGCTATCTAATCGTACTGCGTGTTGTCTTACAATTCTGAATCGTACTGTACTTGCATTTCAATTAAATCTAATGTTTACATTGGCGATAATCAGGCGATTGGCTTATCAGAGACTTTTTCCCACAGTTCATCTGTTTATGGGGCTAGTAGTTATAATATAAATGATCAACTTTGTAATACTTATAGCATTCTTTTACTGCCTCAATTAGTGGGGAGTAATTCTTAAATTTCCTTTCAATGGCCGCTCCGGATCGGAGCGGAAGTGAAAAATGGCTGGCGAAAGCGCAGCGAATGCAGCATTAATGCAATTACTTTCTTTTGTTTCTGTAATCAGGGAACCCATTTGGAATGCAATTTAAATGAGATTATACTTTGGCCAATGGCTACGCCTAGTTGTGGTGCACAAATGGGCTGTGCCGCAGGGTGGTGCTCATTAATTATGATACTTTGAATTTCGAGTGGCGTCGATGGCTTGCGGCATGTATCGGAAATGTATGTTAAAGCGGCAAATAACCGCAGGCTGATCCACCACACACCCTGACAGAGGGGATGCAGCACGCACACGCACACGCACACAGGTGGAGAGTGTGAGAGAGTGTTGTGACAGATACGGCGACAGGTGTTTAAAAAGTTTTCTTTAAGGCGCGTTCAAACAACGGAGAATAAACCCGGGGGACACCCGATGGATGTTGTGCTATGTCTTTGGCTGCGGCTGAGTCTGGGGGCGTTGTCGGCATTTTCTTGCTCAATCAACTTCAATCAAGCAGGAATTTCCAATGTAATTTGTGGTTTCAAAAGCGTTGCCGTCGCAGTCGCCGTCGTCGTCTTCGGCGTTCGGCCGCTGCTGAGGATGTTCGTGGCTGTGTCAAAGGCAGCCATTGAATGTGTAGAAAGGCAGAAAATTATCGACAAAGCCCACAGCCCACACACACAGACACACACAGATACAAAAAGGCAGGCACCGACTTACCCACCCTGTAGAACAAATGAAGCAGTGTGAAAATCTTGTGTTGGGACCGCTCTCCCTTCCGCTTGATTTGATGGCCTCTGGGCACCTCCGTTTCGTTTCACTTTGCTGGGCCTTTCCACAACTTCAAATTACGAGAGCGCCCAGAAAGGAGATGGGGTAACAAAAGAAAAAGGGAGAAAGGGCGGGAGGGAAAGAGGCAAAAGGAAATGCCCGCCGTCTGTCCGCTTGATTAGAAAAGCTGCAAGCGATAAGAAGACGCCAAAAGAAAAGCGCAAAAATAAAATAGAATTCTAATTGAATTTTATTTGTACATATACCTCCTTGTTCTTTCCTTTCGTGCCTTCTCACTCTTTTTGGACGGCAGTCAGCCTGCAGCCAAGTGTCCGTTTGATGTCCTTGCCTTGTCCACCGCTCCTGATTTATTGGTCCGTCGAGGCCAAGGCGCTGCGCTTTTTGAGCCTCGGGCCTGGGCCTCGACTTGTCCAGCGTTTTTAATTGCCTGTCAGGCCGTCTGTTCAGCATATCAACAGACAAAACGGCCACCAATATCCAGAGTCTGCCTTCGACACAGACCAGCACAAAAACCAACTGAATGTGTGAAAAATATTCAAACAATTTGGTTACAAATTTTCCAAACTTGGCAATGACAATTATGTGATGGACAAAGCCACAGCAGGAAGCCTTCAGCCCCATAATAAACTCACATATTAGTCCATAACCTGGCTGAGAGATACCCTTTGTGAAAGCCCTTTTCGAGCTAAGTATAACATATATTTGTTCTTCATTATCCTTTCATTGGTATCAATGGGAAACATCTCTAGGTACCATAGGAAGATGGACCTTTAAGGCCAGAGTTTCTTTCTTGTTTAAATGTTTACATACATATTTGGTATGTTTATGTTTATGCGTATGGTGTGTGTGGTGGAACCATTACAGTCTATATGGAACGCGTCAAGTGCTCGACACGACGAACGGAAACCGCAAAAACCGAATCCAAAACATTTCCCCCTGGCTGTGAGGCAAAACTTGTCACACACGCCCATGTGGCAAAAAAGACGAGACAAAAGCAAATCAAATATTTAAAGCTCATTGAGGCGAAAACTTTGACACATGTTGAGCGAAAGCCGATGGGGAGCGGAAGAAACTTTGATCCAAACGAGGCAGGGGGCTCTCGTTTCGTCTCGTCAATCCCCTGTCACTGGTGAGTAACTGACATTATGCGCTAGCCACATTCAGATCCAATTACTCCTCCCCATCCCATTGCGGTTTGGCAGCCCATCGCTGCTCCTCCACTC